TTATTTTAGGCTTAGAAATATTATCTTTCACTCCAGCCCATGCATGTAACTGCCATTTAGCTTTACGGTCCTTCAGCATCGGGGGAAAACAACAATAATTATACAAAACACATTGCAAAGACTCAACAATCAGGAAAGAAACCCCAGACAACCCTGTCGTACTTGTGTTGAAATACATTTTGTATTTCACGTCAGAATATTGTTTAAAATAAAATATTCAGTCCAAGCCAAATCGAGGTCAAAGGGTCAGGTTGCGTGCATATAATTATATATAGTTATATATAGTTCGTGCAAATAAGGTAACAAAGTTTGTGCACCGTGCACTGGGGAGTTGTCCACGTGTACCCAAGTGCCATAGCGTGCCGTTTACAAACAAGCGTCTACCCATGATCCTGTGCGTTTTTAGTGTGTGATGTTATCATCGCTTGTGACTCAATTCCCGCATGTGCGTAGATGATGACCCTCCCGCTTTAATGCATTCACCTGCCATTAAAACTTATCGCCCCACTTTTCTGACTTTTTTTTACAATATGGTTTCATTTCCCATTGTTGCTCACAACATTCACATAAAAAAGAAAGGTAACTTTCGGAGACAAAATGGGTCAAACAATCATGACGATTTTTGAGCCATTTACCATTATAGTAAACATATTTCGTCATATCTAAGATTTCATCATTCTGATACAAATGATGAAAAAAAAATATTTATTACTATTGACTTATTTATATTGAATATTGTGTATTTTTATGGAATAATTCTTTAACATGATTTTCTATAATAGTTTTCAAGACACCTACCTGAGTCCAACTGTGTTCACAGTGTCCCAAAAGCAAGGGTCGAGTTTCCAGAATTTGTTTGTTGGACCTTGAAATAAAGCCTGGTGAGAGGAGAAACAAATAAAAGAGCCATGTTTGAGTCAGCAACAAATACCGTTGCCATATATGGTATACTCTAAATCATTAGTTTAATTAGAAATAATTTATAATAGTGTGAGAAGTTCTCGAGATTGTTATACATTATGTAGGCCCATGTGAAATAACACAATGACAATTAAACAAAAATATAATTAATATAATTCTGTATAATTTGGCGGAAATACTGGACATGTGATCTTTATCACAGATATCTCCCACTCATATGAGGTTATTAAGAGAATGTTGAAAAGTATGCACGAAGAGAGTACAGCGAAAATATCGACCGACGCCCTAGTATTATACATCTTTTTCTCCCAAAGATACATCACAGGAATGCCGAAATACAAAATGTTTAGAACAGATTTAAAAAACTTATTTGTATGGGGTCCGGTCATAACCCCGGGGACTGCCATGTTTGTTTTTACTATTAAAGGACGATTACGCGCGTAATCGTTGCATATTTGGAATTTCCTAATATGGTAGGATGAAAATAACCTGTAAAATACCACAAAGTTACGGCACGCTGTAACATATGGCGTTAAGGTGACAGATGTATAATAATACTACATATATTCTCATTATCCTTAGAAAATAGGTACATACGATCTCAGACAACCAAGCTTGGCTGGTTGTTACGATATATTCAGAATAATTACATTTTATCGAAAATGAGTGGCTCAGTCCATTATATTTATACAAGTGCAACTTAAAATTGTGAAAACAGGAAAACAAAAAGGGGAAAACTGGGGAACAAACCGCCTAAAAGTGAAAAACCAGTCAAACTTTGTATCAGTGACAAGTCTGAATATTGAAAATTATAACCCCCATTGCACATAGGTGGGTGGACTGTCTTTTGTCTCAGACAGGAGTTTTATGTTTTCTAAAGTCTATGATTTACTTACTTGAACTGCTGAATATGCGTTATTCACCAAGAGATCCAATCGTCCATTTTGTTCTTTGTTGATTTTATTGAATAATTCTTCTACTTGTTTATCATCTGTGTGATCACATTTCACTGGTATACAGGTGCCACCACGTTCCTCGACCTGAACATAATGACAATATTATGTGTTCGCCACACTGTGTGGCATACCAATAAATAATTGTACATGCACGCAATCACACATATTTTACAACGCAAGATTCGAACTCATGATCAAGGAAATCTCCTCGCCACAGCAGACAGTCACGTGCATTGTGCAACACGCACAGTAGGCACAAATCCGGTTGACAAGCAGTAATAGAACATTGAAATAGTTCGTTCAATTTTGTCGGATGGCCGATTTACAGGGAAATATAGTTTTACTAGATAACTACCCAATAAACATTGTTTTCACGAAGATTATAAAAATAAACATAAATATTTTATGAAATTACAATGAATAATTATACAACATGTAATAATTTAAATTCATTTCTTCAGTTGACTATTTTGGAGCGTTTTTAGTCTATTTTCACGTCAATCTTGTTGAAAACAATTGTATCGACATTGTTGTTCTAAATGTAAGTACCTGTTTTGCGGTTTCCTGTAAGGATCCTGGTACTGGTGTGTTATTCGGTGTAAATGTTCGACCTACAGAATTAGATCAGTATATACGTTTCATTCAGAAGGGAAACACAATTTTATCAGAGCATAATTATTCAAAGCACGTACAGTTGCAATCGCAAAACCCAACTTGCCACGTGGCCAACACGCCGTGTCACTGGGTCATTGTGGGTGTACTAGCCGTGAATCTAGGACTGTTTGCAAGTTATTTAAGGCCCATTATCAGCCTCGAGTTCATAGTCACATTACGAGAGAGAAAACTGACAGAGAAACCCAAAACAAAGCAACAAACTGCAGGACAGTCGTTAAACTTGTACCATGTTCCGTGGTATTTTTCATGCACCACTATTCACATTTAGACTACGTAGAGATGAGTTTTTGGAGTCTTTTGTGTATTACTGTATTTGTGTACTACATTATGTAATGTGCCTAAACAATTACTATATTGGTGTACTGCATTATGTAATGTGCATAATAAATTACTATATTGGTGTACTGCATTATGTAATGTGCCTAATCAATTACTATATTGTTGTACTGTATTATGTAATGTACCAAATCAATTACTATATTAGTGTACTACATATTTTAATGTGCCTAATCGATTACCGTATTGGTGTACTGTATTATGTAATGTGCCTAATCAATTACTATATTGGTGTACTGTATTATGTAATGTGCCTCATCAATTACCGTATTGTTGTACTGTATTATGTAATGTACCAAATCAATTACTATATTAGTGTACTACATTATGTAATGTGCC